AGCAAGCTGCTCTGTTTCATTTTCATTATTATTATTTATTCAAGCAAAGTGCTTGAATCTCCCTGACAGCTACCACATTGCCTGCTAACCTCAACGAAACCAAAAAAATGACAAATACTGCACGATGAATGGGATAGGGGCCGCTTAGCGGCCCAGGAGCCTAGATCCAAAAGCAAGACAAGACAACTAAGCTTTTGGCAAAATAGTTTGGAAAATAAGTTTAAATGAAATTTATGAAGCAAAGAATAATGCATTAAAACATAAACTTAGCTGCCACTAGAAGAAATTCTTCCAAAAAAGCGTAGTAAGTTGAAAGGCTTGTAATATGCCAATTTGATTCTCGTTTCTCGTGGAGAGCCTGTTAGCCACTTCAGATCCATAATGAACATTAGGGCACCACACGCACCACAGTACAGAATACCGTGCCGTGGTGGTGGCTCAGGGGATAGAGCGTTCACCTTCCAATGAAGTAAATAGGGTTCGAATCCCAGCGATGTCTGAGTGCTACGAATTCCGCACCGACCATAGTGTTCACGTGAAATATCCTTAGTGGTAGATGGATCAGGGGCTAGAGTCCCCTTTCCGTCAGGCTGACCATGGGAAGTTTTCGTGTTTTTCTTCTCCATGTGACTCAAATGCGGATTAAATCTATCAAAAAGTCATCCACGAAGGTAAATTTCTCCCAATACTGGATCCAGGACTTCCATTGTCTTCTGGATTGGGTTCAAAATTACATGGCTAAGGAGTTAAACATTTGTAGTCGTAAACCCGAAATTGGGTCGGCTGTTCATATTCCGTCTGTTATAAATTAAATTAAAGTACAGGACATCCACAACCTGTACGGCGTATCACTAATATACTAATGGAATGTATTTCCTGCCTGCGTTTATGTTAGCGGACACAATTTTGAGGAGTTCCTGTGATGGGGGACTTAATGTTATTTAATTTCATTTCTTTGAATAAAATGCTTTTCTTCATTTTATCGGTTCCATTTCTGTCTGTCGTGTTTCCAATCATTTCATGACACAGTATGCTTCGTGCTCTAGCGCTTTACGACTCGCGTTTCGACCATGGATTACATAGTGATTTGCTCTTGTATAATTGCCCTCTATCACCCCCTAACGTATGTATCATGAGTTTTGGAACACTCTGTACACAGATCGCTGTATAAAATAAAATTAATAGCATAAATAATTTAAGTAATTTTTTTCTTCTCAAAAGCCAGTTTAACATAGTATGGAATTTTTTTTCTCGTAGGTTTGGAACTTTCCAGCATATTCAACCCCTCTCTTTATGCTAGGGATGGGTAAACAACAATTTTTGTTTTGGTATCAGCTACAAATTGACACTGATACATTTAAGTATCAGTTACAAAAACCTGATACTTTTATAAATTAATCTTTCTTAAAGTTTATATTGAATTTATATGCTTATAATGAGTTTTAATTCAATTTAAATTGCAGACTTAAAAATAATATTGGTCGTAAAATAAACGAAAATTGATTCTTCTACAACTTTGTACGTTAAAAATAAATTAAAAATAAATAATTATAAACTAATAAACTTAATACTTAAAATTTATTTTTTAATCTTTAGGAGTTTTCCTTCATTAGTTAACTTTATATTTTATAAATGAATTGATACAAAATAAACTCGCTACTTTCATGATGTATTCATTTAAAGTACTGGATATTTTTAAGCAGTTAGGGTAAATACCAAATAAACTGATACAAACCCATATCTATTGTATACGACTCTGTGGATAAATCTTGCATTTTGTTAGTACCAAATGAAAAATAAAAACCGGATTTTCTGATACCGTTTATAATTGAAATTTTCACAATGCGTTTGAATTGAATAACTAATAAGTAGTAAATACCCCATGCACGTCTCAAGGTTAAAAAAAATCAATTTCTGTGACAAGTTAGTTTCAATTAGTTCTGTAATTAGTTTCTATAAAAAGTTACCAGTTTCCATATAAATATATAGTAAAATTTTAAAAACTATGGTCAGGACTGCTACAATATGGAAAAACCTATAAGTATCAGCTAAGGTTTCTCAAACCGAACAATGTTCAAATTTTAACTTCCACTTGATCATTACAAAAACAGTCCCCAATTCCCCCCCCCCATCTTAATTAATTTTTTTGAGGTAAATATTTACATATAACTTAAAACAACTAAATTTTTATTTTCTCGATTTTGCTACCTCTTAAAAAAAGAAAAAAAAGCATATGACGTATAACATTGCTGTGTAGACAAACAGGGCATTGTTTCCAATACATTTTTTATCCTAAATCCATTATCAATATTTAGTTGGAGGAACTAATAATTTCAAAATTGAGTGTTTTATAAAGAGCAAAAAGTTATAAGTCAAAAATCATAATTTGTATACCCTCAAAACTTTTAGACCTGTAAACTTGATTTTTTTCCCATTCAATCCAGCGTAAAAAAAGAAAAAAAAATTATTAGAAATAATACCTCACTTGTCCAAAAAGTAATTCAAAATTTTTCACACTTTTGGCTCTCTCTGCCCCTTAGTAACTTCAAGATGGCGTCTAAGGCTTAACTCGGAGTAGGAAAATCACCAGGTTTCCGTAATGAACTTAAATTACAAATTTCAAAATTACTTTTTACAGTTTGCCACCTATTAAACCTGGAACTTTTTCTTCACAAAGTAGCTAAAAAACAGTCAGAAGTAATTAAATTTACATTGAATTTTGCGTTTCTGTTAACCACTTATCAATATTCAGTTGAATTATAATATTCCATTTGGATTATGAAAACAATGTTTATGAAAAAAATAGTAAAAAGCTGTTTTAATGAATTTGTAGCTAAATTGACAATATAGACTTTTGAGACTATACATTTAAACTAAAATAAACATTCTAAATTTATAAAATTATCAAAAAGCTTGCTACCAGCTTTTACTTTCTTAAAGTTCCTCAAAGCAGGAATATATAAATGATTAACCCATCGCGAACTACTGTTGTAAGGACGCAACTTTTGTAATGCTGTTAAAAAGTACCTTTTTGAAAAAAAATGATAGGTTATTTATGCTTAGATATTTTTTAGTGTTAGCTTCCTCTTTAGTTTCAAAGTATCGAGGCAAAGCAATTTCAAATCAAATCATATTTGAAACTTTTTTTACGACTTTTCTATTTGTGCCTATCTTACTTTAAAAAGGGTGGTTCTTTTTTTTTAAAGAAAAAAAATGTGATTGCACCAAGAGATTACATTTCTGGAATTCAATTTTAGAAACATGATAGTTTTGTTCATCATGATTTATATACAGAGCATAAATAGTATGTATATTTAGGTAATTGTGTGTAACTAAAATTGATAGTTAAGTATAGATATATGTACACCACTTTCTGTGATCGGACTTGATTGAGTTACATGTTTGTCTACAATTCGGCATCTTATTATATTAAAAGCTTCTATCAAGAAAAAGTAAAAGTTGACAGGTATGTCAATTTAAAAAGGAATATTTTTGTTATTAATATTGGTAAGTATTACTCATACCTTGTTTCTTCAAAAGTAAATTAAGAATAAGTTACTTCTTCAAGAATAAATTAAGCTTCAGTTTTTTTTTTTTTTTTTTTTTTTTTTTTTTTTNTTAACTAAAGTTTTTTTTTTTTTTTTTTGAAAAGTGAAAGTTTATGGGGGGAGGGACATCCCTAAATTGGTTTATTGGTTAAGAAAAAAATAAATTATCTCAGTTTCAGCTGAGAAGAATGATAGAAATTTTTCAGGACTTTAAGGTTGCCATATAATCATAAAAATTGACAAAAATTTATCTTTTTTTAACTACAAAAAGGTTGTTTATTTTTAATATCAAATTTTTTAAACTATGTAAAAATTATTAATTTTTCAAATAAATTGCATACAAAATTTGATTTAAGTTTTAAGAAAACATGAAAATTCTAAGCACGCAATAATTGTTTTTATAAATTCCATTTATAAATTCCGCAATAAATTCCATTTTTTTTTATTATTAACAAATTAGTTAATAAAAATAATGTATTTCACGTGGATACCTCATAGAAACAAAGGCTCAAAAATTTCAGTGATCATAATTACTTTTAAGTATTGATATGAGGATTGTTGACTCAGAAAACTTACGCTTATCACTTTCACGGTTAAAAAACTTTTCGATTAAACAATTCAAAATTTTGTATATTTCTTGAGTAATGTTTAGGGAACATTCTTATGACATTCTGATCAATTTAGAACATTCCAATCTATTTAGCGAAAGCGTTTAGCAGAAGTATTATTATTACAATTATTTCGTATTCATCTTGGGTACCGCTTGACAGCAAAGAGGGTGTGTGTGGTTACCTTGAATATTTAGAACCTATTTTTTATAAAGGAAATTAAAGCGCTCTCTTTTCATTGGTATGTAGATTGCTAATCTCTAATCTACATACCAATATAATATATCTCAGTAAATACAAATTAACATAACTAGTTATGTTAAGTTTAGCCAAACTTATTTTTAATTAATAAGCAGACGGAAAACTTTTTCATAATTACTAAATACTTACACTTACAAAATACTTACAGATACTTTTCTATTTTGGTAAGTATGAAGAGTAAATATTTTTCATATTTGCAAAATTATTTTTTTTTTCATTTAGTATATAGTTTAAGTGATACATGGAAGTTCTTTTATACTTATGATACGACTTTTTTTAGAAGTTTAATTTCCAGACTGATAAATGGAACAAGTTACATTGTTACAAGTATATTTGTACTTGATAGATAATGAAGATAGTATCGTAATACTATGGTCAGTAATATACTATCGAGAAGTAAATATTACAAGTACAATAACAATAAAAGATGTGTTGTAGAAACAAAAAAAAATTTGAAACGCCACTAAAGTTTTAGTACGACTATAGTTGTTAGCGCCATCTATACTTTATAAGGTTGCCTATTCATACATCTTTTGCTGCAGAAAAAGGCTTTTAAGCAAATTTTACATCAAACAAAAATAAGCAGCCGCAACTGTTCGTTTCTAATCAAAAAAATAAACAAATGTTTATATATGTAATGTATTGTATTGAAAGTCAGCAAAATGAAATTCTGTTTTAAAAACCACAGAAATTCTTAACTCTGAATTGAATTTTAAGTGATTTGCCTCTTAAAATGAAATTACAATGAGAGTAAATAGCAAACAGTATGAACATTTATATGCGAGCAGCATAGTAGTCTGCTTAGTTTTTTATAAATTATTATAAAATAATGACTTAATTAATTATCCTATCATATAAAAATTCAAATATGAACAACAAATATTTTGTTAGTAATTAAAAAGAGCTGATTTGAAGTGGTCTTCGGGNAAACGTCATTTTTGCCGTTCTTGGCCACGCCCCCTCAAAAAACTCCCCGCAGGCACTCGTAGGGATCTCGCCAAATTTTGGCGCCAATTTTGGCGTAGATCACGATACGGAAATCATCCCTGGTCTTCAGTACAATATGGATTCAAAAGTGTAAGTATTTTATAATTAATAATAAATTTTTTTACAGAGTTTTCATATTGTTTGCAGTGAAATTGTGGTGTTATATGAGTTGCAATATTTATTAATTTTGATAAAATTGATTCCGAAGCTACTTCGACGCTTTGGTTGAATACATGTAATTATTATTTGCTAAATTTGTTAATTTAGCGTATTTTTTTATTAGCTTGTAGAATTTCTACTCTAATAATCATTTCTGAAAATATTTTTTCTAAGATAATTTAATTTTAATTGGAAAATAGAATCAATTATAACCATTATTGTTCCATTTTATTGATTTCCATCTCAAAGTTACTGGTTGTATGTCACAGCCATTTTTAATTGGTTTGTAACTCAATTTTCAAATTTCTAAGCAGCAAAAACACACTAATTATAAAATGGGATTATGTACAATACCTGTTCATTTTTCCTACCTCATTAATAATTTTATTGAAAAAAACTAAACTCTAGTTTTATTTTAGATTTTAGCTATTAAAGCATATTATAGAAGGTAGAATTATAAGTAAATTTTAATAAATAGCCTATTAGCAATGCAAAATAGATTCAATAGTATAAATCTCTCATTATTAGAAGCAATTTTTTTTAATTATTTTTTATTTTTGAGTTTCTATGTTGTTTGCAGTCAAATTGTGGCATTGTATCAGCTAAAATATTTTTATTAGTTTTCATAATAATTGATTCCTAAACTACTTTGACACGTTAGTTTAATTAATATAATTGTTGTTAATTTGCTTAATTTCTTATTAGCTTGTAAAAATTCTGCATTAGTAAGCACTTCTGATAGTAATTATTCAAAAATAATGTTAATTTTTTTTAACCATTATTGTTCCATTTTATTTTGTAATTTTTTTATTAATTTCCCTCTCAAAGTCACTGGTTGTATTACCCACCTTTTTCTTATTGATCTGTTGGTCATTTTTAATTTTTTAAGCAGCAAACATTTACTAATTAAAAAAAAGAATTGTGTACAATACTTGTTAAATTTTTCAGTTGCACTAATAATTTTATTAAAGGGAAAAAAAAAACTAAGTTTATTTATATGTTTATATTAGATTTTAACTATTAAAGTGTGTTTTAGAAATAAGAATTATAATTATTAAATTTCAATGAATAGCTCATTAGTGTTAAATCAAATCTGCATAATAAGAGTTAAAATTCTTCCTATATGTAAAGCTATAGCCTATAGGAGTTTTATATAATCTTAAAAATCCGTATGAATAATAAAGAAATATTTTAGTTTTTAAGAAAACTGAATAAGGTATTCAGAAGATAATAAAAATGTATCTATTGTAAACCTAATTTAAGATTTTGAGAAATATAAAAAATTGAATACATTAAAACTGAATTGATGCTAGCATTCCTATAGATATTGACTTGAAATCAATAACTAATGACTTAAAAAATTCTTTTAATTAGTAAGAAAGGGAGAAAATTACAAATTTTAGAGGAATATATCCTACATACTTATTATTATTAAGTACTGCTAAAACTAAAAATTAAAAAAAAAAAAAGATTGCAATATTGTTAATGATATTATTTTTTATTTATTTACCTTAATGTGTTCTTTATTCAAAATTGTTTGACTGTTTGCATTTACTACTGTTCCAATAAATAGTGATAGTGACTTAAAATCAACAGCTAATGACTTAGAAAATTCTTTTAATGATTAAAACAAGTTGAAAAAAAAAACAATTTAAAAAATTTTAGGGAAGTATATACTATTTACTTTTATTGTTTTTAAGTATTGTTAAAGCAAAAAGTTTAAAAAAAAAAATACGCAATGTTGTTGACGATAATTTTTATTTCTTTATATATATGTTAATGTGCTCTTTATTGAAAACTGTTAAACTGTTTACACATTCTTATCAAAATTTAATTTATTTATTCTCTATTTAACTCTTACTATGCACATTATTTGATTATTTTCATTTCATTTGTAGAAATCCAACACTTCAGCATTCCTTCAACTCTTGCAAGAAATTTCGAATTACTTTTCAAAGGAAATATGATTATGAGTGGCAAAAGTTGGATTTACAGGTAAATATAGTTACTATAATGCTTAAGATTTTTTTTTTTTGTTATTTAAAGTTTTGTATTTTCCCTGAAATTTTTATCTATTAAAAAAAGTTAGATAATATTTAGTGAACATGAGTTTCACGAATAAAAGAAACGGAACAAAAGGGATTTATATACATATAAAGCTATTTTTTTTGTTTTTTTGCTGCATAATGTGAGAAATGCTAACAGAAATGTCAAAGACTCAGCAACTTCATCAATTAAAATGCCATATTTATCTTTATTCTTTCCATTTTGTGTGAATTTCTTAAGATTTTTCTACAAATTTAATTAAGAAAAGTTTTTTTATGACTATTAATTGAGAATTTTTTTATTAGTAAAAATTAATTTTCTTTTGTTTGAATATTGTAAATTAAATATTTTTTCATAGTTATGAATCTGTAATAATAATAATTTCATTATTGCTATTGTTCCTTGACAGTAATGTTATTTACAGGATAGTTATGATTATTAGTGATTTGACTTAATGTCTTTGTAATTTTGAAAATCATAATGCCAAAATAATTTATTTGTTTTTCATCAATACTCTTGCATAAATATCTTAGTTGTTTTGAATTTATATAGAAAAGTCGCAACTGCTTCTGTAAATATGCCAAGAATTCTGAAAATACAAAAAATCTGGTTTAAACCAAAGAAATCCAAAAATGCAGTAAACTTTTTAAAGCGGTTTTTATGACTCTTGATATTATGCATTTAATATCTTTCATTCTATCTGTTTATGTCTTGCATGTATGTGTTTAAACTGTTAATTTTTTTAGTGGATGCTTAATTGAGTGCAATAAACATTAACTTTCTTTAATTGGACTTCTGTTATAATTGTGAAAATTTAGTAGTGCATATCGTTAAAATTATTTCTCTAAAAGACAAACTTGCAGAATAAAATGTTTTTATATATTCAATCTAATTGAATATTTATGGTGTATGGCTAGCATAGTTGTTTAATAAAAGAAATGCACCAACTATTTTGTGAAATAACAGTTGAAAATTATTAATTTAAAAAATTTATTTTCCACTAAAGCACAAATTGACACAAGTTAGCTCTAATTGAAATTTTTATTCTTTTATTGTAACAATTCTAATGATTATGTTTGTAGAAATTTATCTTGGTTGTAAATTTTAGGAAGCACTGTTTAACTTCGAAAAATTGGAGGAATCATTCAACAAGCTCCTTGAAAATGAGGAAATAACTTTCCACCCAAAAAGTATGACACAACTTTTTCTGTTATAACATTTTATCATTCTTTATTAATTTTTGTCTATCTTTTTTCTTTAATTATTATTAATTGTAAAGATCTCTAAACTACTTTCATTTCATGCTTTTTTTGTTATATTTTTTCCCCCTGCTTTTAATGAATCATTTCATCCATATTATGTGCCACTGTTATTTTTGTAAATTTCTTTATCTGGTGCATTTATTTCAAAAATTACTATTTTAAGTAGTGAAGATATTTTTGTGTGCGGTACATATAGCTTTAAATATATTCTCCTCCTATGGATTTGTTCTTAAATATTCTAAATATCACTATCTTAAAAAAAAAAAATATTAATATATGTTTTTCTTGGTTTTAATCATAAAACAAGTATGTAAATTTATTTTCTAATGATTCTTTTTAGCCAATTCCCACCGGACGGCTTCAGAATTGTGTAACTATCCATATGACAGAGAATGCAGATGTATGTTTTGCCTACAAAGTGATAGAGTTTCTGCTGAAATAAAAGATCCAAATATTGAAGATTATGATTCTTCAAGTTTTATAAACTCTTGGACCTGGGACTCAGAAATAAGTAAATACTCCATTTCTCTTCAATGGATTTTGTTTTCATACTTTGAAGTAATACTTTTCTGTGATACTTTTGATTTTTATTTAAAAATGAGGGAGTTCACTGTGATAAAAATTAAATCACTTACAAATGAATACTTTGTGTCTCGTAAACCATATAAAAATATAAATTTCTTTACATCTTTAAAGAGAATTTTTAAGATGTTCTCTTGGAAATAAGTAGTTTTAAAACCACATGGATAGTTTTTGAGAATTTTTTTAAGAAGAAAGAGATCCATCAATTAATATTACATATAAACTCTATATGTGTTATTAATTCATAGATCTCTTTCATTGATTGTATACTATAATTTTATATATTAGTTTATAATTTTTCATAAATGTTGATCTCAGATTAAAATTGACAAACTTGCTTTATTTAAATAAACTTCAGTTTTTTCAAGTACTAATTGAAGAAAGAACATTATTTTTGAATTATAATTATCTGATATTTCATTCACACCTTGAAACATATTTTGTTTTACAACAAAGATGGTTGTTATTTTTTGATTAAAGGAATCAATCAGTTTCAGCGTTTTTGTGCTTCTCAATTTTTGAAATTGTTCTCCTTACTTATCTGGTTTTGCTGAAAGAATAAGTGTCTTTCAACTAATGGATTAAAAAAAGGATTAGTACCTAGTTGCGTTTTAAAAATTACAATAATTATTATTTTTTCTAAAAACTATTCAAATAATGAATTATATTTAAAAATAAATAATTCAAAGTTTCAAAAAGGGTTTAGTTCAGAAATAAATTTGTTTACATATATCTTTTCAATCATTCCTTTGTTATTTTACAATGAAATTTAAATTGTTAGATTAATATTTATTTTAGGTTTCCATTAAAAATTCGAAATCATAATTTTTTAGCAGCCAATATCACCTTACTAATTAATTAAATTAACAATTAATTAAATTAGCAATTAATTAAACTAATTTTGTTTTAATTAACAAAATGCTTTATTTTGATTCTTTTCTTAACTAGTTTCCATTTTTGAAACAAATTGTTTGGAACTATAATTTTACTACAGTCTACCATTTTAAATATAGATTATCTTAAGAATTAATTGCATAATAGGAAATATCATTGTAAAGTAATCACATGATATTTCATTATCATGCACTTTATAATCATTAGGTATTTATTTTTTTAATATTAAATTTTTAAAATTTTGGATCAATTTTAATGCTTTATTTTATTCATATTTTTGGCTAATATTTTACTTCATATTAATCATACCTGTTTTTTGCATTTAGCTTCTGTACAAATTAAAGATTGCTTAAAGATTATTCAGAACGAACAAAGATTGCTAATATCAGATGCAGTTTGTTCTACACTTTTCTCTTCTTTGCTTCGAAGTCGCTTACTTATTCTTCATCGATACTTTTCTGCATATCCTCAGGGAGCTTTGATACCTCACGATTATGTTAACAATAAAGCAAAGTCATGTGAAGAATCTGATTGGTACATTTTTTTTATTGTTTATATTAATAAAGAAAACAATGTTAATGAAATATTTATTAAATTATAAAATTATTTTTTATTTCACAGATGCTTTCTGTATTAAATATATATTAATCAAATCAATTAAAATTTACTGAGTTCTTAAAAATAAGTACTAAGAATACTGAAATAGTTGCAAAATATTATAACATCCAAAAAAAGAAAAAAAATTATTGTAGAGTTTAATTGCTCCTATTTGTAATTTTATGTTATGCCTTTTTAGCATTTTTTTACATGTAAATGTAGATTTTGTACTTTTATTTATAATTTTCTCTTTTTCTACCATTTACCAACTGCACAGATTAAATTACCAGTACTCATTTGTTGCTAAATACTTTTAAACAGACTCATTGGAAATTTATTATTTTTTTATTTTAAGTTATAATCTTAAATTATTTCTTAATCTTTGCAAATGCATAGATATATACGCATATATACAGTGAAACCTCCAGAAAGGACCATCTCTGTGTAGTGATTTCCTCTATTTACGACCACTTTTGGGATGCACGGAAATTTTTCCATAGACTTTGTTTAAGAAAACCTTTAGTAGAGATCATCAAAACCTACCGGTCAAGCTTCCACAAAAATGTGGTAACGGTCAAGTATGGAAACACAAAAAAATATCAAAACAAAAAATATTAACAGATAAGTAGATTCGAATGTATTTGAAATATTTGTGAGTAGCTCTTATTTAGAGAGCCTTTTTTGACGATCTCTGAAAGACAGCGATATTTTTATGTTGCAGTCAGAATGCACTAAAGACGATGCAATCAATGATTAATCTTTAGAGTTGAAAGTTAAATTAGAAAAGAAAAATTTTTTTTGAGAAAAAAAACTATGCTTTTAAGCAAATAAACCTCTTCTCATTTTTTAAAACTAACTAATTTTTATGATGTAAAATTAAATGCAAACTTAAACAAAAATGTAATTGTTTATTTATTTGAAAAAGTTCTATCATTCTTAATTAGTAAATTTGTATTTACACAGAGTCAGGGATTATTTTTATTGACGCTAAGTTTTATTCATTAGTCCGGTTTTCATGAAGCAACACAAGTGGCACTTCTGCACCAAGAAAATGACACTGAGTAGAGTTAAAATCTCTTGCGAAAAATCTTGTACCTTCGATAACATTTTAAAGTCACTAGAGGTAACCTTAAAGAACTACCAACGTCCAGTAACTGCCATTTTACAGTGTAACAGTTTACAGTGTGTTTAATTATTGCTTTTATTTTCAATTTTTATATTTTATTATGCACTAGAATGTTATTTCTAATGTTTCAATTTGCATATTTAAACAAAGCAGAAAAGTTAAAAAGAAAGAAATTTTTTCTTACTAGTACAACTGATGAACAACCTCTGACAACTCTTGCAAAAATAGGATGCAATATTGCCATGAGCTTTGCATTTACTTCTTTAAGACGGGCATGGAGGTCTGGAGAAGATGCTGACCTTTGCAGTGAGCTTCTATGTGAGACTTTAAATGCTTTGAAAGTTCTTCCAGAAGGTTCCTTTTTCGATTGCACTTCAATATCACCCATATGGCTTGAAACAATTGAACGTGCATCCATATTTCTTCGGAATGTTGTTCTCGAGTAAGTGAACACTGAATATTTTTTTAATACTTTATAGCTGTTTATGGGTTGCTTTTATTGCTATTTATGATTGCTTTTTATGGTTGTTCAATGCTTTACAAAAATGAGCTGGAAACTCTATGAAGATGCCTTACTTTTTATATATTTTTTTTATTTACTTAAATTAAATTAATGTTTGTGTGACTGATATTAACGTTATGTGAATCTGCGCAACTGTTCAACACTTGGAAGGAAAAAATGGCTATTCATATCCAGAAAAGTTTGCATTTCCTTGACAAATTATATTGCTTTGACTGTTATAACAGTGATTAAATCATTTCGACCCCATATCAGTCAGATTCTGTATTTTACAAACATTAGATTGAGGAACTTGCACCAAGACAAACGGGCATCAATAGACATAGAATAGTTTGCATAGCAACAATTTCTGTAAGCTATTGTAGTTGCGTTATTAATGCCATAACCTTTATGAACTTCACATAGTTTCTATTTATTGTTTATCAATCTATAATTTTTGAATTATAAATTCGTTTCAAAATCTGATTGAAGCTAATAATAACAGGGTTTTGTGAATTTTTTTCTACATTAAATCAACAATTTATTAAAGATTTTCTCGTTAAGTTTGGGATCACCTTATATCAAGGTTCGAAATTAAGGAATTTGCATGAACTTTATTTTGTTACAGTATTCATGTTATATAATGAGTTGATTAGGTGTAATAAGTATAATTTGTCATTCGGATGCTAGTTTTTGTAAATCTCAATTTTTCATGCAACATTCTTTGTGTTGAAAATACCATAAATTAATAAAAAAATTTGAATAAATGTTTAAAACTTCTCATTTCTAATAGTTTTATTTAAATACAGTCTTTTGTAGAACTAGTCAATTTTATTCTATGTTGATTATTGTACATTGACCATAATCCTGCTAGAATGGTATTCTGATTGTTACAACAATATTTGCAATAAATTGCAAACTTTAAAATCCTTTTAGTTATTTGTGAGCATTAGCAAACAAGAGGCAGATTCTTCTAATATGTTTATAATGCTCTTAATACTTTATATTGTGTTCCATTTTTTTTTCTAATAAGATTAACATGAGTAAAGTGTACCAGTTCATATTTTTCTACTTTTTGCAATTTAATTATAAAGCATACTTATTCTTTATGGTTAAAATTCTTGTAATAAGTCATTATAAAATTAGCCAAAGAATTTAAATGCAGTAAAAAGGTATTAAAATAAGTTTACCCTTATCTTGTTTGTAACAATTTAAGAATGATTAAATGATTTTCTTTCAAAAATTTCAAATTTTAATTGCATCTGAAATTGAACTTTTTTCTTATTTAAGCAAAGACTATTTGTCATGCAAGAAATCTGATCCTATTATATAGCCTTTGCTTATTTCTTGTTTACCTTATAATTGTGAAAATCTTAAGAAATTGGAGTATTACTTTTGATTTAAATTTAAGATTTACGAAAAAGTAAAGAAAATTAAATCCAGTTATTAGCCAGGAGAATCATGAAGGTTTTGGCTCCACATTTTTTTGGAGTAATGGTGTGGAGGTTGTAATGCAATTGTGTACTACATGCCTTTATTTCAAGATTAAATTCATTCAGGATTTGATTACATTCATCTGAGAAGCAATTTCATTATTGTTAAATGTTAGTTCTTTATATTTTATTTTGAAAATTAGTGTTTAGAATTCATAGGTTATAGTGTGTAATGATAGTACTAATTTTTTTGCAGAGACTTTCCTAGCAGCGTCAACTTTTCTAAAGAAAATGTTTCACTGAAAGATAAGCAAACTATTTTAGCTTTATTATTTGAATTTGCCATACAGCGTGCAAGTCTTCATGATATATTAGATGTCATTTTAATTCTTCTTAAATTATGGACGAAGCAACCACCGGAACTCAACAATAGGTATTTATTATTAAGCAATTGAAATAATTATGCTTTCTTTTTTTTAGTTTTTTTTTGTTGTTTTAGTTTTTTTATGGAGGAATTAATCCTAATTAAAATTCGTATATTTTTTAAAAAAATTTTTAGGTTTTCTCTCACTTTTACCTGAATAGTTCTGAAATTTTCTGAACTTTTCCTAAAATTAGTTTTTCTTTTGAACAAATTAAAAAGGCACAAATATTAATTTGCTAAAAAATGTGAAGAAATTTTTTTAAAAACTTCTGACATTATTTTTACTAATGAATAAATTGTTGACTGACTATTTGTAAGGATAGAAGGTTAGTAACTCTTGTGTGAGTTTAACAACATAACTAACAAATTTGTTGCCTGTGCAACAAATGCGTGTGGAATAAATTTGATGCCTGTGATTGCAATCTTGAAGTAAGCTTTTCAATGACTATTTTTGTGTTGATCATTGAGTTTCTCAAACATCAAATTCCTTCATTATAATATAAATTTATTTCAAGGTTGGCAAGTTTCTGTCGACGTGGTTAAAACCGGTAGAAACTGGTTAAAACTGGCAAGGCAGAAACCCTTTTCTGCCACATTTGTGGCAGCAATTCAGAAAATGACATAAAAGTAAGTACTGAGATTGACATACAATGAATAATTCATAGAAAAAACAATTAAATGTTAAACAAAGTACAATTTATTTACGAAATTATCACCATTCAAAATCAAATATTACATTGTTTGCACTCTGTAGTAATCTATATCAAAAGAGAGTTTTGATACAGTTTCTCTAACATACAGCAAAGATTAAAACTGTTATGTTATAATAATTGGATTGTTGCCATGCAAATTATGTCTTGAAAAGAAAAAAATTATTTGAAAATAGCTCTATTCAGTTATGTTAAGAGTGAAATGATAATAATTACTGAATTTCAGAGTTTAATATAATAAACTAAAATCTATTAATATTTATTATTACATTACTTTATTCTTTATTTTATCTAAATATTTGATATACTGCACTTTTTATATTTAATATAAACAAAATAATATATATTTTCAAACAATGAATTAAAAAGTTTGTTACAGTTACATGGAGTTACATTTTTCAGTTTACTTAAACAAAATGTCATTAAGCAATTACTAGAGCTAATATAGACGTTTTTTTAGTTTCTGCCAGTTTTTGCCGGTTTTTACCGGTTATAACCAGTTTCTGCCAGCAAAAAACCAACCCTGATTTATTTACAATAATATGGAGAGAAAGATCCTGAGAATTATGCACTTCTACAATTCAGGAAACATGGAAAATATTTATTTACATATGAACTTAAAAAGTTTAACTGAGCTTGAAAAGTCTTCATGTGTATACCTGTAATACATATAAATTTGACTTTTTATAATTTTTTTAAATGGAATATTGTAAAAAAACTTTGAAAAATACTAAAAATTGCGTAGTTAAGGGGGCTGCATGAAATTAATTTGTGGGCTGCAATCTGCAAACCCCTGCTCTAAGCTAAGTCGTAAACTTTTGTTTCTTCTCTACTTCTACAAAGCACTTTATTTTTAGACTCTACCATTTTATTAAAAAAATCTTTAAAAGTACTTCTAAATAAAATTGCTGTGAAGGATTGGAGCAACTTTACCAAGAAAAATAACAAAGAAAAATCTTTTTTTACGTACAAAAATAAAACAACAATAAACATATAAGAAAAAATGCTCTTTATTTTCTGACTTCTCCAAAAAGTCTTAAAATTTATAACTAAGATGTAAATGTTATATGTTGTAATAATACTAATGCTGGCTGGGAAAGTTTAAATAAAAAAAGGTNTATTACATTACTTTATTCTTTATTTTATATAAATATTTGATATACTGCACTTTTTATATTTAATATAAACGAAATAATATATATTTACAAACAATGAATTAAAAAGTTTGTTACAGTTACATGGAGTTATATTTTTCAGTTTACTTAAACAAAATGTCATTAAGCAATTACTAGAACTAATATAGACGTTTTTTTAGTTTCTGCCCGTTTTTGCCGGTTTTTACCGGTTATAACCAGTTTCTGCCAGCAAAAAGCCAACCCTGATTTATTTACAATAATATGGAGAGAAAGATTCTGAGAATTATGCACTTCTGCAATTCAGGAAACATGGAAAATATTTATTTACATATGAACTTAAAAAGCTTAACTGAGCTTGAAAAGTCTTCACGTGTATACCTGTAATACATATAAATTTGAGTTTTTATAATTTTTTTAAATGGAATATTGTAAAAAAATTTTGAAAAATACTAAAAATTGCATAGTTAAGGGGGCTGCATGAAATTATTTTGTGGGCTGCAATCTGCAAACCCCTGCTCTAAGCTAAGTCCTAAACTTTTGTTTCTTCTCTACTTCTACAAAGCACTTTATTTTTGGACTCTACCATTTTATTAAAAAAAATCTTTAAAAGTACTTCTAAATAAAATTGTTGTGAAGGATTGGAGCAACTTTACCAAGAAAAATAACAAAGAAAAATCTTTTTTTACTTACAAAAATAAAACAACAATAAACATATAAGAAAAAATGCTCTTTATTTTCTGACTTCTCCAAAAAGTCTTAAAATTTATAACTAAGATGTAAATGTTATATGTTGTAATAATACTAATGCTGGCTGGGAAAGTTTAAATAAAAAAAGGTGTTTTTCAATGAGTATAGATTTGTCGAAAGTTACTGTTCAAGGCGACTCATAGGTGCGCCATAATTGCTGCATTTATAATTGTATGACTACATTTCATTTTCTGTTCTCCACTTTTTTTCAGACATTTGCGATACAAGGTTGTCAAATTTTACTTCTCATGTTTTTAAAAAAAATTTTTTTAAACTGTTTTTTTTAGTGATTTGTTCAAATTACATGCATCTTGTGCAGTTATAATAAATTTTTTGTGAAAAAAATTACAGGATTATTGAATTTGATTCATGGAAAAAACTTTGTAAATACTTGAAGAAGTCATTGGAACCTGCTGAGCTTAACATATCAGAGGTAAGCTTCTTTCCATGTTTGTAATATTTATCAATATATATATATATTTTAAATTTTTATTTCTTTGAACTCTATATCAAAATTTGTGCATCTGTGTTTCTTCTACATAAGAACATTGTTTTGTCTTTTTGCAAAAAACCTTAAAAGTTTTATACGTTTAAAATGCTAGTATATTTTAAATTCAAGTTTAAGAAAAAGACCAAAATAAAGAAGAATAGTTAATTTTTTAAATCTTATTCTAATTTGATTTTCAATAGAGAAATACTCCAGTAATTACTTATTCTTGCTATTCTATTCTATTTGTACAGTCTCTAGTGTTCCTTTTTATTGATGATTCTATTTAGTAACCCCTTAAATCAGCAGCCTTCCCCATAACTGACGAAAGTAAATGCGAGAATGATTTCTTACCTTCTTCAGCAGCAATTAGATACCATTCAAACTGATTCATTAACAAATGTGGTCAGAAAGGTTTTGGCTCATTAGCGTATATGTTAAAATTCTTGTAA